CATCCAAAGGGAACGTACCGCAGTTGTAAATGCGATTCCACAAAAGGAGTACAGTGACTGTTTTCGAAAACTTTTCAATCGATTCCAGCTATGTATTGATTCAGAAGGAGACTATTTAAAAAAAAAGAGTGAAATTTTGAAAACAATTCACGTCTAGTATTTTTAATGAACATAGTCCTAAGAGAACCTGGACACACTGTGTATGAATGGCCTCTACCATTAAAAGTAAATTAAAAGTAAAGATATCCCTTTAACAGGCCGTGAAGGTCCATAGGGTTGTGTGATGTTGAGGTTCCCACATTTTTCTAGATAATCGGGTCACAGATGGCGGTAAGGTTGTCAGCCCTACGTACCGGCTGTCCTTTACCCACAAAAATATTCCTGGTACGCATTTCTGTTAGAGGCTGAGTCGAACTCAGGGCTATAGTGCGGCCGGAAGGATTAGGTCAATTGAAAAATATGCAATGACCTCATCTGGACTTGAACTCGCGACCTTCTGCTTGTAGTATAGGGGCTCAACCAGCTACGCTACCGCGTGCCCCCGCCCTCTACCATTACTAGCTGAGAAGTAAATTGCTTTCCGGAACTCTCTTGTTAATTTGTGCGTTTAGCTCTTCATGTCAGAGTGAATTCACTTTTCATTCTCAGAACAATCCCATATAATTGAAAGCAATGTCCGAGAGCAACCGGCATGTGAAAGCATTGTTTTTCCTGAAAGTCTACGTTGCTAAGGAAATAAAGAACTTCTAGTGTACACGTTTGTCTGCATGGAGTAGCTGTAACTTTAAAATAGGCGAATACATTAAGTTTGAGGTTTATGTTTCATTGCTAAGATAGAGACAATTAAACGTCAGTATCCCATGCACTTTCTTTGCTGCATATACAGCATTTCCTTGTGCGGACCTTCAGCTTTTACTTGTTGGGCTACTTTCGCAATTAACATGCTTTTCACGGACAAGCCAGTTGTTTACATCACCTCTGCGTTCCTCGTTCTATAAACCTGTAAAATGTACTTGATCTCTCTATACTTTCATTGACCATAATTTGTAATTCGTACTTAAACCGCCATTATGGTTCGGATACTGTGAACCATCC